GGTATATACTCGCGCTCATATGTCTGCTTCGAAAAATGTCGGGGCACTCGATATTGGTTATGGTGATTTTATGGCGGGTTGTCAGTCTATCATTCGTCGATTAGCAGTTCTACCCGATCGCGCAGAAACCCTAAAAGAGTACACAGAATACGTGGAATTTCTTGCTAATAAACGTCGCGACTACAGGGCTATCGTAGTGTTGCAATTTGACGACGCCTTTCGAATTTTGGCAGATGAAAATGACTGCGCTTTAAATGATTTTAGTTCGTGTTCGAGCCTGATTCATCAGCATTTTCACTCTGGTACGTTATCGGTCGCAGTAAATTCGTTTCGGCATCGGCCTGGGCCAAATCCCTTTCGAGCGCCTGGTGCCTTTCAACGTGGGCCGGCAGCACCAGGACCGCGCGGACCCATACCCTTCCCCCACCGCCCACGCAAGGAATTTCCATGCTCCGAATGGAATGAGCGCCGCTGCCAGAAGCATCCGGATCACTGCCTCTATTCCCACATCTGTCGGCTCTGCAGCGGCGATGGCCACGACTGGTACCGCTGTCCTAAATGGACCGGATCTCCCGGAACCGAGCAGTCGCACCCAACCGCCAACCGCAGCAACAGGCAATTCCGTCAGTTTTAATGGTTTCTCTGTTTATGACTCTCCGAACGGTCAGTCTTGTTTCGCAATTTCTAAAATTTTGGTCGACTCTGATCCCTCGCTACATGATAAGTTATCTGATTTTCCAACGGTTTACTCATTGCTACCTAATACTTTTTGTGATTTAACTAATAAAACTCTCGGAAGTTGCTCAGCTGATAACGAAGTCACGTTCTGCAGTCCACTCTCTCGTAATTACAGTAACTGGATCGATTGCTTTTCCGATGATGAAGACAAAACATTTTTGCTCGACGGAATTAAACACGGGTTTAAAATTGTCCCAGAGGGTACAGTAATTTCTCCAATTAGGCTTGAAAATCGCAATTGCACTGTCTCGTAGGCCATTTGAGTTTTGCTTCTAGGGCGATTCGTGGTGCCCGTACTTTCTCACGTATTTTTATTGACATCTTGAAGTCGTTAAACGATAGCGATGCTTTCTACCAGGTTGACGATATAATTCGCACCGAACTTTTGTGGTGGATAAAAGTCTCTCCGAAACTAAATGGTCTCTACCATTATGCCTGTGGAAAATACAGACGTAAAGTGTACATTACTTATGATGCTTCGTTCCAAGGCTTCGGCGCGGTAATGGGTGACAGCTGGCTCGCGGGCTCCTGGTCTCGCAACGAAATGCCTGGAAACCGTAAATTTTGGCCAAGCTGGTTGACAAGTCCCATAGTGCACATTTCCTTGCGCGACAACATTAACTACCTTGAGTTAATCGTAGTGAATATTTGACTGATCATAAGTAATAAGCTTTGAGTTTTACTTAAGCTGATCAAAAGCTACAATTCTACCCTTTTAATTATGATAAGCGCAAGTAAAAGCAGAAGCTTTTGACTTAAACTGATTATAAGTAAAGCTAGGGACTTTTACTTATGATCAGTTTAAGTAATAACTAGAAATTTTAAGCTGCAGCAAAAGGCATCAGCTAAAGTACTTAAACTTTTAGCAAAAGTTTTAAAAAGCGTAATTATCAGCCTAATTGTAACAGACGCCAGGCAGAGCCTATTTTTTTAATGTTATCCGAGAACCCGAACAGAAACTTGAAATATTGAACATAAGCAGTAAAGGCGTGATATTGGATGGGGATTGCTGTGTACCGGTTTGACCCGTATTTGCTCGCCGATACCCACGCGGAAACGGGTTCCGTTTGCATGAGCCTTCTAGCGGAATCGACGTAACGGGACAGGACTTGGGCCGCTATATCTATACCAGTCTATCGCAGACGGGCGAGAATTGAACGGGAAACTGGTCCGATTGAGGTAGTTTAGGGAACCGGCTAGAGAGCAAAATTTTTAAAACGAGCCAACACTGCTTTCCACGCGGAGAGCTCAGGTGGGACTCTTGTTGTTTGAGAACTAAAAATGTCTGACACAGCCGCATAGAGAAACAATACCAAAAGAATACACGAATTGCGAATCGTATCAAGCAAGCTTGTCTTGTGAGTAGCAAACAGAGTTTGCATTCGCCAGCCGTTGACGACATTTATACAAGTGGGGGCTGCATTTTACAGAAATCTGTAAGAGTGCGATAGATTTACAGAAGCGCGATAGCAGAAGACAGCAGCTTTAAAAAATTTTTAAAAAATAAAATTCTTGAGTTTTGCTTCAGTTAAAGTACTTTTGATCAGCTTAAGTAAAACAGTTAGAATTAGACTCATCATAAGTAAAAGTCGGTGGGTTTTACTTGAGCTGCAGCATAAGTAAAAGTCTAGAGTTTTACTTATGATCAGCATAAGTAAAAGTGCCCTACTTTTACTTAAAATCAGCATAAGCTGTAAGTTCCAGCAGAAGTACGAGTAAAATTCACACTAGTTAATCGCCGCCTGCCTCCCTGTTCTGGTGTGGTGCCAGATGTTTCGTAATGCGGAAGTTGTCATATTAAGTGATAATGCTTCAACTGTCAGTTTCGTTAATCGCGGCACGTGTAAAAATACGCAAGCCTTGAAATGGTTGAAGCTTGTATTCTATGCCGGTTGCGATTTTAGTTTTATCGTAACTGCTCGCCATGTACCAGGCGAATCGAACACTGCAGCGGATGCACTCAGTCGCATTCTTACTGACCATAAATTTGAGTCGATATTTCAGTCTTATTTCCGTCGAGAAGAAAGTTTTGCAAAAGTAACTTCGTCGTGCCTTTTTAGATACCCGAATCAGTTCTCTGAAGACGACCCTGAAAAGATTACAGCGTTCAGCTCTGGCTTACGGATCGCAAAAGACTCGTAGATGCCAGTGGCAAAAATTCCTCGACTTCTGTGAAAAGCATACTCTAACTGCGGTGCCGGCTTCAGTTAACACAGTGTGCCATTACGTTGCATATTTGTCGAAAACAATGGAATACAATTCGGTTTAGAATTACCTCGCCGCCTTGACATCGCTACATAACTTAATCGGTAAGGCCGCTCCAAACCTCAAGCATTTTTCGGTACAACTGGCCTTAGCAGGCTTGAAAAGAAGTAGGTACGAGTGCCCAAATGCAAAAGCAGGTATAAGTGTTAAGCACCTGCAGGAAATCTACCGCAGTTTAAATCTAGTGAACGCAAAGGAACGGAATGTGTTCTGGGTTTCATGTTTGTTTGCATTCTTTTCTTTATTACGAAAAAGTAATATTTTTTACAGCAAGTCGAACTCGAAATACATTCGCCTTAATAATGTTCGGCTGTCAAATAACAGCATTCTGCTTACTGTGCCGCATTTAGAAACTTCCCGCTTCTTAGGAAAATTGTATCAGTTCCAGTTCGTGCGGTACCTGGCTCTGTTCTGTGCCCAGTGGTTGCTTTTGCATCGTATCGCAAGAAAATCAGTTTGTCTCCTTCGGAACCGGCATTAATGTACGTTGACGCCTCCGGAAATTAAACTCCTTATACCTCGTCTCGCTTCGTGAATACGCTGCGTTTACTTTTAGCAGCAACGGGTTACGACTCTAAACAGTTCTCGGTGCACTCCTTTCGCAGAGGGGGCACCACATTTGCCGCTTCTTTTGGTGTTTCGATTGATGAACTTAAGGCACAAGGAAACTGGTCCAGCAACTATTTCGAGAAATATGTATCTCGTACAGATGCACTTCGACAACAGTTCGGTAAAACAGTTTCGAATGCTCTTGCTCTTGGGGGCTCGGGCGCAGCGACCTAACACTTCGATTTGATGTTGCTTTTCTGTTTTCTTGTCGTCCTCATTGCCGTTGTTTTTCTGTTGCCCTCACTCAGGAAATGTCCGTTGTATGTTCTGGCGTTTGCACTGTACCAAGAAATGTTGGCAATTTTTATTGAATAAATTATTCCCATGATTTCATCCCTTGGACACGTAAACGGAAGTACCAGAGTTATGGAAAAATAAAATGCCGGTCAAGTAGCCAACCATAGATTCACGTAGAGAGATGTTTATTAAGGAGGTAGCTAGAGACAGTAATTTTTTCTTCCTGCTGTTCGCTGAAGATTTTAAGCCTGGCGCAGACTTAATGACCTCTATCGATGACCGTTATGAGCAACCGAATCCGGATTCTGCTCCATCTTTTGCTGTTGTAAACCATCGGGTTCAATGGATTTGCCTTGTCGCTATTGCTTTTGTCCCGGATTTATTGTTACACTGATCTCTTACATATCGGTTTGCTGTCTAAAAAACCGACTTTCGCAAGACCCTTAAAAACAGGGTCGTGCGTGTAGTGAGAAGAATGCTGACAAAGGCTTGCCGCCAAAATCTAGCTTTTGAAAAAATTCGTCTTTGAAAATCTAGCCAGAGCTGCTAAGCGAACCCACGACAGCTGCGCTTTACGACATTTAAAAGGTGGCCAAGCTTATTTTAAAAGGTGACCAGGTTTATTACTGGTAGTCTCGTACTAATCAGGGCGCCATCCGAAGGAAGCCGAGAAACTGGCCGAAAAATGCAACGATGGGGGAATAGAACCTCGGCTACGTCGTCAGATCCGCGAAGGCAGTACCACTGCACCACGGCGCAAAGTGTTGAAATATACTTGAAAGGTTTTGTCGCTGTACATGAGCCGGTTCTGTCTTTACACTGATGTCGTGTGTTTGCGCATGAAGCATTTTATTGTTTTATTGCAACTTGTTCAACTGTTTGTGTGCATAGATGAGCACGAGTTATGCCTTTGGCCGTAACGCTTGACAATCTAAGAATTGTTATGATGTTTATAATTCTGGAGGAAGTTACTGAACTTTTTTTAAGTAGATAGAAGGTGTTATTCTGGTGTATATGATGTCGCTCATTTCAGCGACAGTCTGTTATTTCCTGTTGCATGTCATCTCATTGTGATTTGTGCTTGTCGTGTGATTAAAGTCATAGTTCAAGAAACATCACTTTCCTCTTCAGTTAGCGCAGAACGAGTACTGCATATAACACATTCTGATACGGCACTGCCCCTTTCACACTTTAGAAAGCTCGGCTAAGTAATGACGTAAAGCTACGTTTCCCACTGAAGAAACAACCGCCGCCATGTTGGGATGTGTATTCTGTACGCTGATCGTGTGTGCCGCAATTTATGGCCAGGTTTCGACGAAAATAATCCGAAATCTTCCAGCAAGTATGCCGAATTCAGAATTGTTTAGAAATCTATAGTATGTATAAAGCACCGACGGGCCGCAGATATCTGTAGATAGCGGTCTAATTTGTAAATATTATTCTAGCTAAACCGATCTTTAAATGTTTCGCTTGTGCAGACTGGAGAGACTTCATCGATCCGGAGATTCTCGCACAAAGTGAAAATGATGATGAATTTACGCGCTACGACAGCGATTTGCCGGAAGGCGATATTCTGGGACTGCAAACGTTGCAGGTAAGCAAGATAGTTCTTTGTGCTCGCTAACGCACTTAAAGATTGCAGAATTATGTACCGGTAACAGTTTCCTTGAAAATCATTAGAGTACTGTAGTGCTTAAACGAACTTTGCAGCTTGAGCACGGAGCAGCAAACGTCGTCAACGACGCCAGCTCTTTCTGGCCCAACAACACAGTTCCTTATGAGTTCTCCAAAAAGCAGAACGCGTTAATGAGTACGAGACCGCTGTTCATTGAGAGCTGTTTTAAAAAAAAATAACAAAAGCTAATGGAATATATTGACACAAGGAAGTCAGCCTAAACCGTTTGCAGCGCCAAAAGAAATGCAAATCATTCTGGAGTCAATGCGCTTAATTAGTCTTCTTTCCGGGAACTGCGTCAACTTTGTAGAGCGCGCCGGTGAAGAGGATTACATCAGCTTCCAGAAAGGACTGCAGTCAGTAACTTATTTTCGCCGGTTTAAGAATACGTGCGATGCTTACCAATCGGTGTTACGGCAGATGCATGTCGAATATCGGTCGCATCGGAGGGAAACAAGCTGTAATTTATTCCCCCGCTTGCCTGAAGCAGCACGGCGATGTCCAGCACGAATTGATGCATGTCCTGGGTTTCTTCCACGAACATTCTCGAGACAGAAACAGAGGCAGGTTGGCAACGCCAAGAGTAGTTATGAGGTCAACAATCAATGAACAATATGTTCCACCCAGCAGAAAGCACGTACTCGTCGCTAGGAAAATTTAGCGTAGAAAAGCTTTCTAAAGGCGTGCTCGTTGCCCTTTTCGTCTTCGTTATCATCCCATCGCTTGAGCAAATACTGCGGCACCACGGCCAAGGCGTAGTGTTCTTGGATGGGCGTTGCGTCGTGCAGCACGCTCCACTTGTCCGTCGCTTCGTCGTAACACTCCACAATGTCAGTCCAGTTATTAGAACCTGATTTAAACCCATTTACCAATCCGCCAGCAGCGTATACTTTTCCTCCAATAGCAGCTAAGCGCGGGTAAGCTCGCTTGTGCATCATGGGACCTTGGGTAGCCAAAAATTAGTTTTCAGGAAGAGCGTGAAGAGCCAAAAGCTTACTTTTCGTATACCAACAGTTCTGCGCCAGATCGTAGGCCTCCACGCACGGCAATGCGAGGATTTCATTGCAGTGTATCTCGGTGAGATCAGCGCGGCTTTCACATCCCCCTGCACAAAAACCCTCGTTGATTGCAGATATCAAAATATTCTAGATGCAATCCGGTTTCAGTTGCGCTGTTTTAGTGCTCACCCGGTTTCGGAAGCCGGCTTATACTGCTATGGCAATTGCGAATACCACATATTTGCCCCACTTACGGATGACGTAAATCAACCCATTCGTGCCGACTCAAGCTGAGGAATGATAGCGGGCCGTTGGCATCGGAGCCAATTCGCTCCAGGCGTTGCCCATGGGATCGTAACAGAACGCGCTGTCCATCGGCATCAGTTCTTCCCTTCTGGCGGACTTCCAACCACCGAACGCGTACAGTCTGTCCTGACAGATGACCAGTGCCATACTGCGCATCTGAATGTTCGTCTCTTGCAAGAAAGTAACCGATGTACGTTGCCAGCAACCGAACGCTTCGTCATAGCATTCGAACTGCAGATGGTAGGTAATGGCAGCGTATGTCAGCATACAGTATCTCCCGTTTAAGAACGCTGCGTACTGGAAGCAGTGATGGAACTCAGCGGTACAACCGCTCAGGCCTTGGTCGGGCAGCGCAGTCCATTGGCGCTGGCCCGGCTCGTAAACGTGGAGGCGGTGGCAGACGCGCACAGCCACGCGATTGCCGGGGGTCACGATGACGGACGGGTTTAGGTCGCTCCGCAATGCCGGACACGACGAAAGTGGCCTACAAGAATTTCCCCATCTCGGATAGCAGCAGCCCTGGCAGATCGTGGGCGAACCGCAGCAGTCGGTACCGTAAATCCTTTTTGACGACAGGTCAGGATACACTGGATTAGGAGCGGTAATGTAAACCGCTACCGGTTCTGCAATAGCAGTTTTAACATGTATTCCGGCTGGTGCGCAGCATACGCTGGCCGAACATTTTTTTACATACATAAGTTATATTTTTTTCATACATACATAACACATAACATACATATAGATACACGACATACTAAATAACATATAAGTAAGTATACGGTAAAATTTCCGGGGTAAGTACTGTAAGATTTGCGGGGCCGGCATCGGCGCTGTTCGGGTGTCAAATACCGCATGGCCAGATAGAGTGGTCGTGCCGTTGGGCTTTTCTGCAGAAATCTGAGGAAGGCCGTGGAAAGGTGCGCTACGCGCAGCAGGCCCAGCATGTCCAGTGCGGCGGACATCCGTTCCTTAACGCTGCCATCCAACCAGTCGTACAGTGCCTCGCCCACTCGGTCCTCGCTGTCCACATCCAGATCGTCCGAGCCAAGTAACTCCTTCACCTGCAGAAGCACGCGACTTGAATACAACGCTACTGAAAAATATTTCATGCCGATTAATGCGCTCGCTTGGTGTAACCGTTAAGCACCATGTTTTTGTCCAGTTCCAGAAAGGCCTCACACCGGAACATTGCGAGGAAATTGCCGCAGAGGATGTTTCTAACTTTTTTTGCCAATTCGTGACAAGACAACATTTCCGCCCATTGTGCAATGCTCCAGCAGTTCGTCAGATCGACGCTCCATTCCAGACACTCCGTGCACTTCCTCACAATGCGCGGCATATCCAGCATGTGCGACGCTTGCAGCAGAGGCAGCGCGTTGTCCTTGTCAACGGATATCTCCCGCAAATACATGTAACTGATTAGTCTGAAAAATGTGGTCACTAACTTGCCCAGCAAACGGTTGTTGGCGTTTGCTTCCAGCAAGCACAGTATTTAAATGAACTGTTTACTATGCCCGTACTTCTATAAAATACCGCGACGGCGCGATTGCTTACTGCATTAAGACGTTGTGCGGGATATCGTGCAGTTGAAAGAATTCCTCGCGGGACTCCTTCATTTCCGATGCGAACATGGCGGCAAAAAACGGACTGTGCTGGCTTAACACTGAGCGCTGGCAGGGAATCCATTCCGAATCGGTCTCCGTGCCCTTCAGACACACATCCGGATCTGGCAAATTAGTAGTTGACATGGTGACTGCTTCCAGCAAAAGCCGCAAAATAACTGCAAAGTTGAATGCCGGGGTGCGCAGAATGCTTGTCGGCAATGCAGCACCCGATGGTGTGTGGTAGCGGCCAGCGGGACTAGTGCCATATAAAGAACACTGTCATGATGTCATCATGCTATGATCACGCATCGGCACGATAGCATACAGATATCGATCTGCGATCGATGTGCCGATTTGTACATGCCGGCTTGTACCATACACTGTAATGGCTGTTATCCTTAAGACAGTTATGTGTAATTCTTCATACAATTGGCACTCGTACGCAAAACTGGAGCGATTCAAATGCGTGTATTAGTAATGATGTGCGTGTAATAGCAAATAAATCTTGTGCAGTTGTGTTCAATTGCGAATTACAGTAAAATGTAAATCGATGAAATGCCGGTAAACAGAATTCATACCATTGGTAGCAAGATCAAAAATGAAATTTTCGAAATGCACAGTTGTAATGAGACGTTGCTATTCTACAGTTAAACGACTACTGCGAGTTGCATCTGTCAGTGGGCGGGAGCTGAGCAAAATAATTTATTAGGTGGCAACGAAAAAGCTACGTACACAATGTTATTACAACTGTGAAATTTGTCGTTTGATAGGTATACGATGGCCTTCGTTTGTCGTTTAAACTTCGGTACGCTTTGGGCGACTAAAATAATTATCCACTGCATCGGAATGACCGCCTCCAAGAGCCGCAGCTTTATCGCGTGCTAACTGTGTAGTTCTCATCGCTGTTCTGATGTAGTGGATTCGCCAGGAACCTGTGAATTTTCAGCCCTACTTTATTCTCTTTTATACAACTGACTGGTCGAGGTAAATTGATCATGTAGGAAAAATAAAGGAACACAGTAGGATATATTTGGGTGCAGTCACGTATCTGCAGGAAAAGTACAGATACAGTGGCGCAGTTGTCCGCCACGTTGCGATACTTCTATACGTATCCATGTACGCATGCCAGATTGATTATTGTGCTGCTGAATAGGTCAATGCTTGCGTTGTGATCACACTTATTACACAAAAGGATGATATAAACGACGACATTAACATTTTCGCAAAAGAAACAACAAGCAGCGTCTCCAGCGGCACAATAATAGTTGAGTTGCCACAGAGCTCGTGAGGTCACGAATCGGAAAAAACGCCGAACCGTGGCAAAACCGACAGAAAAATTACCCGAAGAGCCAAAAAAAATAATCAACTGCGTCAAATGTAGGCATTTTTAACAGGAAATGCGAGGCAGCATGGGTTACTAAGAAAATCGCTTATATATAGCTCTAACTTTGGTGCTGCAAAAATCTGTGCTTCTACGTTCGTTCCCCTTATGCAAATTAATTCAGTATTTTAATCCTTCTGACATAATCCGCTTGTCGACACTCAGCTCTGAAGGCAAACAATGGAGGTACAAGCATGGGCCGTTTAGCATTGCGGCTTACGGGCGAAATCGTTTCCGGTCCATCTATTATTTTCACGTGATCAGCAACAGTGATTCACCAACTACACATGTAGCTGGTTGGTGATTCACAAAGTGCACGTCGTAGATGGTGAATGCTACTGCGTATACAAGTTTTTGATCCGTATTACTTGGGCGCGGCACTGAACGGCCCTGTTTTGTCTGCGTGATATCGAGCAGAACGCGCGTTACGACTCAGCACCATGGCCACTTCTGGTTTTATGATCATCGTAACTTGGTCTAGAAATGTTTCGCTATTCTGCAACTGCAAACACGTCATATTAAAGGACAGCGAATCGCCAGGGAAAACATTTGAGATGCCAAACTGTAGGGAATTTAATTCTCTACATTCTAGTGTGCATACAATAACCAAAGTAGCTCCAGAAAACGTAATACAAGCGTAAAAGGTTGACGCCACTGCATGTGCCTATGGCAGTGCTGACTCTGAAATATTTGATGCGCAAGCGATAAACAGGAAAATAGCGGGGCAAACCTGCACCAGACTATCGCTGATTTGTCTAAGCTAAGCGTAACGTTGACGTCAGGTATAGGATCTTCACCTGATGGAGGTAGGCTGAGCTGATAATCGTAAGCCAAAATGAACGAGATGGTTGATGGAAGTTGTAGTCGGAATGCAAAGAAAAACATCATCGGACCCAGTGGATCAAGCTCCTGTTGCAATGACAACGCTGAAAGGTCACATTTGTCGAAGAACAAAGAGCGCCGAGAGATGGTGAATGTACGTATACAGACTGACAATAATGAACTGGAGTTAAATACCGGCTTGAATGGAAATTGTGTCAAGCATAAATTTAATGTTTTACAGATACTGTCGTTGCGCTTAACGGCGTTGACAACTATTTCACTAGGTCCGGAAATTTTTTCGCGCCTTGCATAGACAGGATAGTGGAGACAGCTAAAACCCAGCGGACAAAACTCCGTACGTAGTTCCCAAGCTTCCAAAATGCATCCACGTACTTGTATGTGCCACCTTAATTATTACATAGTAGCGACGCAAGTTACATAGTACAAAGTTTAATACAACCCGGTCGAAAGTCGGAGCGCATCGGCTATACCCAGTGAGCGTTGATGATTTTAATAAAAGCATGCTAGTTTCCGTTTTCATTCCCATTGTCATCCCACCGCTTAAGTAGATACTGCGGCACCACGGCCAGCGCATAATGCTCTTCTATCGGCGGTGTTTTGTGCACCAAGCTCCACTTATTCATTATTTCGTCGTAACGCTCCACAAAATTAATCCGAGAATCAGTCGTATATTTATGGTCGTCAATGCATCCATCGGTAAACACCTTGTCGCCCACAGCAGTTAAGCGGGGAGAGGACCGCTTGACGAACAAAAGCCTTACTTTTTCTGACCCAAAGGTTCCGTGTGACGTCGTAGGCCTCCACGCAATCCATGCACCGGATAACTTCCACTGTAGTCTCGTAATGGTCGCATTCTAAATGGTTTGCGAATCCCCCTAAGGAGAGTGTCACATCTCAAAGATGCAGCTTATAGGCGACTTACGGAGGAACTCGTCTATTTTCGGTGCTGTACTCTTAGCGAGTAGTTGTTAACCATAGCTTTGCACCGAGTGCGAGCCTGTACAGCACCACTGGAAATCACATCGCTCTTTAACCTAACTGTGCTTTGTAGGGCTCGATCAGTGCAGATAACAATGATTTTTAACAATGAACAATCCGTATAAACCCTTCTGTATAAACCAAGTAAAAGCATTCAAACTTAAATTCAACAGAACCAATCATCGTCCTTACCGATGACATAAATCAGCCCAATGCTACCGACGCAGGCCGAACAGTCATAGCGCGCCGTTGGCATCTTAGCCAACACGCTCCAGCTGTTGTTACGGGGGTCGTACCGAAATGCAACGTCCAACGGCACTCGTTTGCTCTTTTTTCCCGAAAAGCCGCCGAACTTGTACAGACAGTCTTGCCAGACGACAAGGGCCATGCTCCTAACCGAAACCTTCTGTTTATCCAAGAAAGGAGCCGGCGTATACTGCCAACAGCCTAGCTGAACGTCGTAGAACTCGAACTGCTGCGGATGGTTATAAGCATCTCCAAGCACACAGTACCTTCCGTTCAAAAACGCCAAGTATGAAAATTCCACTGATTGCAGTGCCGGACAAAGAATACATTTTCACCGGCTCCTGTGGCTTCCGGGTCGTGTAACGCAATCCATTTGCGTTTAATGGGCTCGTACACGTAGACACGATGGCAGACGCGCACGGCCAAACGATTGTCGAGCGTCATGACAACGGTGGGCATTAAGGGGGGCAGGCCAGTCGACGAGCGCGACGACGGCGGCTGGCACGGCTGCCACCATTGCGGATAGCAGCCGCCCTGGCAGATCCTCACCGAATCGCCGCATTTGGTTTGGCGACCATTTTTTGCTCCTGTCTCCGGACGCTTAGGATTGGGCGCGGTAATGTACACCACTGTCGGTTCTGAAATGCCCAAATTTTAGAACCAAAGAAGGGATGAGGAAGACTGTGATTTGGCGCAAAGGGACAAAAACGTACTGTAAGAGTTTCGAGGTCTGCGATGCTGTCCTTTAGCGGACATGGAGTGCATGGCCTGATAAAGCGACTGTCCCGTGGCCGTTTCCTGCAGGAATGCGAGGAAGCCGGTGGAAAGATACGCAACACGCACAAGATACACCATTATGTCTTTGTTTACTTAAAGTGGTTTGACTGTGTTCTGTGGACAAAGCAGTAGAAGAAATGGTGACTATTACTACGTATATTAGTACTACTATACTGATTGCTAAACTGGGAAATAATGGGCACGGGCCTCGGCGCAATTTAAAGCGCAGCAGTGGTGTTGTGGTCAACCTGGGATTTAAAGTTAGTAAACTGTTGTTAATTAGTTTGCATGTTGAAGACCGCAAAGTGACAAAAAACACGAAGGTAGAAGCAAGTTCTTCCAAAAAAATAAATTACAAAGTCTATATGCACCAACTGCACGAATTTTAACTGATTAGTGAATAGTGACTGATCCGGAATTAAAGGAATAGGTCGAAATTTATAAGAAAATTTTGTCGGCTTTGAGGGAAAATGTTCGCATTTCAGGTCTTATGTCACCTCTGTAGTCAGTTGAGGGAAAGGGAAATTTTCCACAGAATATTATCGTCAACTGTAGCCTTTGATACCGTAATATTTAGTAACAGAATTCTACGCTTCGGACAATCGGTCATAAAATCTAAGTTCTATAACAACCTGCAGCTATGAGTTTTAATTTTTGCACTGGGTTATAATTTGACCATCGCATTAATTTAATCCGCGCAATTTGCGCGGGGTCAGCTAGTACAGATATACATGCCGACCGAACTGCGCGCTAAACCTTTATGCCAGATCTCTCTCTCTGCACATGGCACAATTTAAGCTTCACAGACAAAAGCATGAAATCGCCTCTAGAACTCTCTAGAACAGTTCTGCGTAAGGCCGCAGATTTCCGTTGTCGGCTTAGGCTGTGCAATCAACAAAAATTTACTTTAAAAAACTGTGTACAAGTATTCTCCATAAAGACGTAATTCATATCAGCAGATAATGAAATGCAATTTCTATCAATTCCTGTATAGCCTAGTTTGGTCTAATTTGAGTGGAAACGGGAAATTCACCTCAACATTTTTGATTCTATGTATATCATAATTAAATTTTGCAAGCACGATCCAAAACTACTGTATAGTGCGGCGACACTTTTGGCAGGACACCCACTTTGGCCACCAGACATTTTGGTCACTTAGCAAAAAGTAAAAATGCTAAGAAAACAGCCACTAGGTACACAGTCCGGCAAACATGCCCTACGGACGCATGCCCCCCATTGCCACTTTCACCAACATGCAGTTCAGTTGGTAACCCTTACCACATCCAGCAATTGTCAGACTGCATTCAGCAGCAAATACTATCAGGCAGTACGCATAGGCGCGTTTTGTGGCGGTGGTCGCGCGTAGCACCGCATAAGCCGACACTGCATTAATCCTGAGGCGCCGAATAGGGTGATTATGGTCTTCACGGTTTCGAAACATATATGTTTTCGCAAATGCTACGCTAATGCAGTCCGGTCAAGGTGTCATTGCACCACTCCACGTGTCGTTCCACTTGCCATTGTACTACAAATTCTTCTAACCGGAATCAATGAATTAGTGTAGTCAAAACGAAGTAAGAATTATTACGCTGGATTAATATGATTATTACACATAGTTAATAATATATTGCGAAATACAGTACCGATCCGTTTGGATGGATCATGGGTAAGCCGCTCTAACGCTTACAATAAAGTTCAACTTTAGATAAAATAAAGTTGGACTATTTTTCAACATTTTGTTTATCATTTTGTTCATCATACTGCGTATGTACCGTAATAATACAGTTATGACAGTATAACTGCAGGCATGCTTCTTCCGACTACTGACCAGTATAAAACACGCTTACCCATGGGCATGATTCTTCCAGATTCTAAACGGATCGTCGGGATCGATACTGTACTCGTACTGCACAAGTGCATCCCCCTCTGCTTACCCGGCACGCATGCTTAATTTAGACCAGTCTCACTGAACTGCGCCATGTCGGCTTACTGAACAGGAGCGCATAAAAGCAGCCGTTGAGACGGCGGGTGAAGCAAACGCACCTCCATGCTTATTCCATCGACATCATTAATGGTGTTAGCAATTCAATAAGCATTGCACGACACGGCAGGCTGGACTGTTAGTATTATTTTATTGCGGATCGCTCTACCATTACGCGCATTCAGGTTTCAGAGCAAAAAAAGAAAACGAATTTGACAATAAACTTCAACATTGTGCTGTCAAGTGTCACGGATTTTCTTGCTGTCGATTTTAAACAGTACGTCCTAATTTTGCGTATTTTCGTACAATCTGTTGCGGAATAGTCCCACAATGGAGATCCTTCTACCAAACTTCCCACCAACGCGTCCCGAAGTTCCGTATTACTCCAAATATCACAGTGTATTCTCAACCGAGGGCGTTGCCATGACGTATCCCCCGTTTTGCGAAAACATTCCACTGGAACAACAGCTGGAAAACAATAAGGTAGATTTTCAGTAATAGATTTCTTGGTACAGGTTATACAAATAGCAGAGATAGTGCATGGGCTTAATTATCATGAAGTGAAACCTGACTGGGCGTGCTAACGTTATTCGCATGCTGAAAAAATTACAATTTGTTTTTCCATGTGACATAGCCAAGAATTTTCAATGTATTATGATCTCTGATTTCTCGGCCACGAGGCCCAGGAAATCAATTATTCTAGTCTGTTTTTATATATAAGCAAATTTACAGTACATTATATTGGTTTACTGAAGACTGTTTCAAAGATTTTTTATTTGTATTTTCCTTTATTTGTGATTATTTATTTGTTTGTATTTTCTTTGCTTGTATTTGTATTCATTTTATTTTTGTATATATTTTTTGCATTGGCAAATGCCAATGCGAATTGCGTTTGGGTTACGGATTCACCGCTAACCACAGTCTGGCGACATTTCTCTAAAACAGCGCCGTTGCCTGAGTGCAGTGCAGTCGAATTTAGTTAACAGTAAATTAGCACTTTGTAATAACTTTTGTAGCATTTTGTTTGTGACTGTTGTCAGAGAGGTAGCCTCTTCCTATACAATATTTCGATAAAATCCTTCAATATTTTGGATCATGGTGGCGCGGGCTCGACTCCCGCGACCGCCAGATTTTTCCGAGTTTCTATGCGAGCTTAGCGGGTAGCCACCCGCTAAACTCGCCTAGCCCTTGCACCTTTAAGTAATAGTTATATTTGTAGATTGTAATAATATTCGTTAATATATTGCACTTTTAAGTAATATTTGTATTCGTAATAATATTCGTTAATATATTGCACTTTTAAGTAATATTTATATTCGTAAGAATATTCGTTAATATTCGTAATAACTACGTATGAGTACGTTACAACCATATTAATTACAACAACAAGGAGCTAAATACAGACAGCGACGGTGGCTGACTATCTGCAGTTGCAAATTTTGTAAATGATGCGTTACCTCGTGTTTTTAATCATTACTTTTTACTTAGGGATAGCAGTTATAGTATAATACAGTGTAATTACTCAGTTTCCGGCTTGATGAACACCAAATTATCTCAAGAAATGCCACTTTTACACGTAAAAAAAGTAGATTGCCAAAACATTTTGAGGCTTTGCTTTTAACGTAGTACGTCATCCAGTGCCTCAATAATAGCAACGAAAGCTGGAAAATATAAATATTTAATTTTGTCGCCGAAGTAATAATTTCCTTGTCCATCATGTTATGTAACCTTTGAGCTTTAATTACTGTAATTGTAAAATTATTGAAAACAAATTTGAACTGCACCATCGCGAAGCTCCACAGAAAAATACTGTAAACGCACAATTATAATTATAGCGACAATCGCCAAAGTGCTACGTTGCGGTTGAATACTCCTGAAATTTCTTCTGAAGTTAACGGTTTCTGTTTTTCAGCCTGATGACGATTCAGAGCTATACGACACGCAATCCAAGATCCTTAAGCCAAACGCCGATTTTGCATCTCATCCGAACACAATAACCACCTGCGGTACTGCGTGCTCCTTGTACGTTCACAGAGAAATAACACGCAGCTCGTAAAATGTGGTTAAGAATGTCAGTACACAGGACGGTACGAGGGCCGCTGGAAATACACGGTGCACGGCAGATGGCCGTTCGGTTACTGCTGCCTCCACAAGCCGGGACGAAATAGCACACGGTCAGTGTTGCTTCGGCAATAATCAGCATATCATATGGATGTAAGAAACCGAGCACATGTTGTCACGCTGCAGATTCTAAAGAGGTCATCGTTTGTGTTGGGGGAATAACGCGGACACAGTTCTTAGCGGATGTGAACTGCTTCGATCCGGTTGCGCTCACCTGGTCACCTTTAGCGCATCTTCCGTACGCCGTTAGGTATCCTGGCGTTGTGAGTCTGGATGACGGTTCGATTTTTGTTTGCGGCGGACTGACGTCGCCCGGCGAGTATGGCAGGGTACTGCCGACCGTCTTGCGACGTGATCCGACGACAGGCCAATGGAATTACGTGGCACCCATGCAGCATGCCCGGGAATCTGCTGGTGCAGCCGTGCTCCACAATCGCATCTACGTGGCGGGCGGTCGAGGTTGGCGTGGCCGTCTGACGGACGCCGTGGAGATGTACGATCCGCAATGCGACCAGTGGCGTTCCGTAGCGCGCTTGCCAACGCCCATGAATGCATTCACTATGGTGGCGCATCGAGGCTATTTGTACACGTTCGGAGGGCGTTCGCCTGAAAGATATCTTGACTCGGTATTCCGTTACGATCCACACGTGGATACGTGGAGTGAACTGGCTGGGATGCGGATGAAGCATGGCTCCCTCTCCGCATGTGTTGGCTCGAGCGGATTGATTTTCGTTATTAATTTCGGTACGGAAACAGTTCGCAACGCTGCGATCTCGCCGGCAACGTGTTATGACATTCTGTAGCCAGATGATTTGTATACATAAGCGTCAAAACCGTTTGTGCGCGCAACATCCGGTTCAAGTTATGGCTGTCAGAAAATTCCGAAAAGTTTAAGTGCTTTCCTGTGTAACAAAAATCTCGTTTTCAACCGATCTTCTGCACATTTTGCATGGAAGTGCACATTTGCAAGAAGATCGTCTTCACACCGAACCAAAGGTGTACCATTTTTTCAACTTTCAAAAGGAATTTTAAAGACCGGAATGCATTTAAACTTTTTGGAATTTTCTTATAGCCATAATTCTCGAACCGGATGTTGCGCGCACAAACGGTTTTGACATTTTATGTATACAAATCATCTGGCTACAGGATGTCGCAACACAAAGCAAAGAAGTGTCTGGGATTGCGCGAAAGAGAAAGTGTTCGTCCATGTGAGCGAATTTGGTATCATGTACCGGGCCACTTCCCTTAAGCAGCCCTAGCATTCTCATTGTATTTTAGGCTAGTACCGGCAGAATCTGCGCTTGTAGGTCAAAATGTCGCGGGATCCATAAAGAATCCCATGGAGGCTTATGACACCAGAGCAAATCGATGGCAAACTAAGGGTACGAAAGAGAAGAGTTGCACACGTGCACGTGCAGTTACATGCACGTGTTAGCTACACACTTGTGGTACTTTTCGTGAGGCCGTTTCTTGGCTCGTTTCATGCGCCGTACCAACCTGTGTCTTAGCTGGAGTAACGAGGTACAGAGGTCAGTGACTCCTGTATGCTATACGCGGCGCGTTTTGCTACCGCTCGCGGTAGCGAAGAAGTTGAGCTGACGGCTCCCGAAACTGGCCGCCGCGTACTGTGGTTTGCCGCAGGTGGCAAAGATCGCTGTGCCTTTAGTAGACTACGAGATTTACGGGATGGCTATTTATAACCTTCTGTAGAATATACCGCAGCTGCGTTTTTGTTGCGTTTTTCAGCGAGAACAAACCAGAAGAGAATATGCCAACCGGGGACCTGTCTCGTGGGAGAAACGATATATGCCGTTGGCGCAGACGAGGAAGTTGGACAACCTACAGGTCGCTCCATGGAATGCTACAATGAAATCGCTGACAGGTGGACCATGCATGGAAGCCAGCTACCAACCGGAGCCAGTGGCGTGCGTTGTGTGGTCATCCAACCGTCGACCATCGTACCATAATTGTTGGTCGTGCTTAATGTAGTGTAGTGTACGTGGCAACAATAGCTGCCATGGTGTAATTGTTCTTTGTTCAGATTATTCTACGTTTGAGCAGCTCCAGTCAATCATGCGTCCGATCGTAGCAACTGGCAGGACGAATGAGGCCTCCATCCTTCCGGCCTTGATTACTGGAAGGCATATGCTCACTATACTTGGATTTGACTGCAGTAAACAGTCTGATTAGAAGCCAAAATACATTATATTGCCATCAAGGAACTGATTCAGCCCTTAATGAAATAAATCGTGCTAATTGGTTTACCGTAAAGTTCTAATGTTTAAATACTGCTAGAACCAACGTTGAAAATTTTTTGTTAATGTTCACCTAACCTTTTGGTTATGTGAACATTACGGGCGCATTCATGGGTCTGGATGGGATGGTCTGGATTGTCTTTTAACACAGGCCTTGACCCTTGGGAGCTGGGAGTGTCCTTCGAATCATTACGCTTCCTGCATTGTTTGTGGCGTTTTTCTTGATCCAGATTCCAGTTAAACAGTATATACAATCATGCCAGTTCTTGCAAAGTCGAAGAAAAGTCCGTGAAAGGCACTTAGTCGGTAGTTTGCAGTTAGCAGGCAACCGATCTCGAAGTCCCGACAGGTGATGTGCTGAAGAAACCGTCAGCGTATCAGCGTTATGCCGACGGCAGGCACAAGCTCCTCCCCAGCACAGCCGCGCCTTCCGCGAGGCTGTGCGCATCCTCCCACCCAAAGAGCCAAGGAATTCTGGAGTGCACCAAAGAAGAACTACGTATATGCGAATGTATGCACCACATAGCCCGTAGCCGTAGTGTAATACCGGGACCGCGACACCGCCGCACAATTTAAAGAACCCTTTTTTATCGGGCACACGATATAGGACTAATTTGCAGAGCTGAGTATTTTGCTAATCTTCATGCGTTTCTCGCATAATTAAGCAGCAGAGTGTGCGAACGCGCGCTGGTTAAAAAGCTGAGATGATACTCTGGGTCTACGGTAACTTTCCGGCACCTGATTGGAAGCAGCGTGCCGGTGCAAATCACCGATATCGAGAACACAAGAGCTCGTTCTGATAAGCCCAATACGAGGATTTTATAGTGCTGGTTAGTGTACTAAAGACGCAAACAGATAGCTGATAAGACAAACAGTTTTATGGAAGAAAAACTTGAACGTGTAAAGATGGACACGTGGTAACGCATGAAGGTGTACTAATCCCGCCGAAACATATGCTGCTACCTTGGCCGCAAATCGAAAAGAATAACCAGTCTTTGCTAAAAGACTTTAACACAAACACTTAATTATCTAAAGTTAGGCTTATTTTTTCAGCCACTTACGTAATAAAAAGTGAATAATTAATCGTCCAAAGAGAAAATCGCGCGAAACACCATAAACCATTCCGTCTGTCTGTTTTCAAGTGTGTCCAAAAATCAAAAAACGCAGGTTCCCTTCATTAGTGCGATGTGGTTGTTGGAACCGCTGACGATCAGTTGGGCAGGAGAACAGCGCAGCCTGTACGGGAAAAAATTGCAGGTCTGTGAATATGTATCTGCTATATGTTGAAATGATTTTGTTTTACGGAATCTCCTTTGTAAAACTCCTGTCTGTACTTAAAGTAATCCAGTAGAAAACCCAGTATATGTCCCAGTTAAAGTAACCCAGTATATGTCCTACACATGTAGACAACAGTTCCATATTCGCATTAAAACAATTCGCTTAGTACCAGCACAAAGCTAATAATGCTGGTACTTCGTAATTGTTAGGAAGGACCAGCACGACAGTGACTGTGCCTTAAACTGTAAAAGCGTTCATCCAGCTGAAAGAGATGGGAGACAGTGGCCCGCCGTACCTCATATAAGCCTTGACGCGACGTGCGAAACACCTCGTGAACCGCCAACAGCTATTCGGCGCTTGTCTCGATCTTTCCTTGACTGTGACTTCCCCTGAGTCCACACTGTACAATCGTGCACCCTACGACGCGCACAAGATGTCAACATTGAATTCAAGGTAGCGTAGAAGCATGAATTATAAACACAGAACAAGTTCTTTAACGCGGAACACTGCGCTCAGCGAGCTTGAAGGGTTCTTCGTGCTAGCCAACAGACCATCGTGATCGGGAATTGAACCATCACGGTCAGCTGGCAAGTCCTTAGAGGCAGCACCAGAGACTAATAAGCATGCTCTAACTATCTGACATCATCCACTAGCTTTACTAAAATACGGTAACAGCTAACTGACGTCTGCTTCAGGGTTCATTTGCTCACAGTTCTTTGCTACCTGTGGCTCTTGCCTATTCGATCTTCTTACCTTACTTGTTTCATATACAGTCGACAGGCTGAAAGATAAACGAGGTAAACTGTAAAGGTATATTGACACAAGTTTGCTAACAAAATATTAATGATTTGCAAGGAATAACCAGGGAAGAAGTGTACTGATCAAAATACCCGTTAAATGGTCACAGAAATCCATGAACCCTGAAATTCACCGCGTGATCGAGGAATAGTAAATACAGCTAAAGCACAGTGGACGCGAGATGACGCGGCGGTGGCATGATTCACCCCCGCACCGTCGGAGTGAATCATGTCACTTTCCGTCGAACCATGCGTAGGCCTTAACGGCCTCCGTTGTTTTCGCTTTTAAGCGTACCACGTGCGACAGAGCAATGCACTTGCTGTCCGCTGTTGCCCTGATGGCTGCTTCGTGAACTCTTGCGCATCTGATGGATGGCCTAATGTTTTCTGAATTTTGATATTATACATTACTTTCTCCACGTATTTTTCCTGTTGTACATACGTACAGAGTATTTCTTTTTACTGCAAAATGCAAATTACGCTTGAATGCTGAGTGCTCTCCGTAGCACTTCAATAAACGTTATTAACGAAACTATGCGGAAGCAGGCAGCAGTGAATCAGTGCCAGTGGCCACTGACCAGTAGTAAGCAAATTACAGCGGCATGTAGCTTTATAATCATTAATCACCATGCATAAGCATAACCCCCTGCTTCCGGTATAATCACCATGTATACTAGTAAAGATTAGGCATAAATATAATTATATACCATATTTCGATTCGATTCGGCATTCGATTTTCATCAGTAAACTGTAGGTTTGCTCTGTACGGTCGTCCAGTCGGTTGGTCTGACCCGAATTGTCGAGTCGGCTAGTGCCCTGCAACGGAGTACAAAATTGCGTCCAGTCCGATCCAAACTTAAAAAATTTTATCCGAACCCAGTCCGACTCCGAATTCTAAAAATCGTACTCCGACCAATCCGATCCGAAAATATTTTTGGCCAATCCGAACCCACTCCGATCCAATCCGAAAAATTTTCCGAAAAAATATTGCTTAATTTTATTACACATCCCCACATTAAAAAAAATTTTAATGCCGAAGCTGTTAAAAATTTTAATGCCAAAGTACCGTAACATGGCATTCAAAAAAATTTTAGCCATGTTGTCGGTAGTCAAAAGACTTCAGAATTCACAGGCACAAGTTTCTTGGGCATAATAAAGGTTAAGCTAGAGGATTTATATATACAAGGTTTTTTAGGTGAATTTAGTTTTTTAGCACTACAGTGTTGAAGCAACTGGAGAGGTTAGTTATCTATCCTCACTGTCAGATATCTGTATCAGACCTTTTTGTTGTATACGCTGCAGGCCACGGATTACCCACGTATTAGTTAGGTTCAAAAATAGGGACAGAAATTTAGAGGGAGGGATGTTTCTAAACGTCCGGAAATAAAAATAAATAGTAGTTTCGTGCATTCCTTAGTGTAAGTTTATATTATTATACATTATTATATATAATATTAGTATATATAATTAGAATATATTATTATTGTTATCTTAATCTCAAGTATTAATCCAATTACAAGTGCTGCAAATAAAAATGGGAAGTCGGTGCCTAGTGAAACTGAGTGAGCTGCACAACACATGTGGTCCGTTTAAACTTTAACAGTACTGTACTTAGTAGTAGTTATACCAAAATTATTTGATAAGACAATAACAAATAACCACATCATAACAATCGTAAAACACTCAAAATATTAAAAAGTGTCAGGAGAATTAATAAAAGGAAGTGAAAGAGAATTAACAACAGTCAACTAAACAAAAGCAGGTACTTCGATGAAAATTAATTAAGCGCAAATGGAAGCATCGCGCGAAGCTGACGAAAATTTTTGTTTTGAAGGCCGGTGAAATTTAATAAAAATTAATTAATAAAATTTATTTAATTACGGATTATTCGGAGTCTTGATTGCATCCGAACCCGATCCGATCAGGTGCACATAAACTCCGAAACCACTCCGACTCCGAATTTTCCAGATTGAAATCCGTCCAATCCGGTCCGAAAATCGGACTGGGTTCGGAGTGGATCGGATTTCCCAGTCCGTTGCAGGGCTCTATTGTCGACATGTGGCTAATCACAGTTCACATAAATTATCCATAGATTTTACATAAACACAATAAAAGCCAGATAACCACCGCAATAACGAAGAAAGCCGCTACTTGTTGCAGTAAAGAGAATTTCTAGACCTACATTGGCCAGACATCACGTGTTCCAGGAAGTGCAGCGGAAACAAAAGAGAATCGAAAGCTTGAGAAATACGATGGACTGGCGGTTCGATACATAGTGCAACCCTTGGCATTTGAAACTACGGGAACTTTCGGACCGCAAACAAAGAAATTTTTCAAGGAATTTGTTACGTGCTTATTTCGTAAAGGCGCGGATGTTACTGTGAGCTTTAATGATAGAATAAGCTGAAGGATACAAATGTCAGCCGGCGCTTTATAAGCCGAGCGGAGTTCCAAAACACATATAAATAGATTAGGGCAGGCGCAAGAAAGATACTTCTATGATACACATATAAGGAGATATTATTAATAGTTAAGCTAATGTATACTCGTAACACTTCCCTTCTTAAAATTAAGCTGTCCGCAGCTTAAGAAATTAACGAAAATAAAATGAAAATAAAATCCAAAGAAAATTGAAAATAAAATTATTTCGGCTTCCCTCCCTCCTTTGGCTTTCGCTTCCGCATGTTATATCGTGGTTGCGGGTTATCCGTATCGTCCGGTTGCCTTTCATGGTCAAGGGCGTTATGTCCAAGCGGATTATTATCTTCCGGTAAATTTGGGTCATCGTTACTGAAAATAAAATTCTGACTATCGTCATTAGAAGAAAAATTTAAAGGAAAATTGTCGTCTGCTGATTCTTTAGGCTTATTAGCCAAATAAATTATTTCATCAAACTCTTCCGTATCCGGGTTGATTCTTTCGTTGAACTTTCGCAGGCGGTCAACATGTACAGTATCAATCTTTTTTCGTCCATTGCGGTTTCTTATTTTATAGTTGACAGGAGAAGTTTGTTCGATGATTTCCCACGGTCCATGCCAATTCTTTAAAAGTTTCGTAGTTAATTTATTCTTACTGGTGATTGGCTGATCCATGTCGTTAAGAAGTTTAGGCGGTGTCCATAGTAAAACTAAATCTCCAGGTGAAAATTCTGTCTGAACATGTTGTTCGTTGTAACGCGGCGCATTCTTGTCGTGTGCTGAGTTGATACGAAGTTTGGCTAATTCTTGTGCTGATTTCAACCATTTATGTACTGTATCCACGTATTGCGGGATATTTTGAATTTCGTGTAATCCATCGTATTGCATTTGAAGGTCGAAGGGAAAAACAGGTTGACGTCCGTATAGGAGTTCAAAAGGTGAAAATTTTGTAGTTTCGTTCTTTGATGTATTGATGCACCAAACTAATGAAGGTACAAAAGCATCCCAATCGCGGTGATTAGAGCTGACGTAATGAGAAATTGCAACGCTGATGGTACGGTTCATTCTTTCGGTTAATCCATTCGTCTGGGGATGATATGCTGTCGTAGTTGCGTGTTCTATGCCCAGGTAATTTAATAAATTATCCATTAGGGAGTTGACGAAGTGTTTCCCACGGTCGGAAAGGAGTCTTTTAGGTATTCCATGGCGGTAAACTATAAAATCAATTAAAAAATGTGCGGCGTTCGAGGCGGTTGCGGAGCGGACAGCTTTCGCTTCAACCCATTTCGTTAGGTGGTCTATTGCCACGATGAGGTAGGCGTTTCCTTTAGAACTTGTTGTAAACGGTCCAAGATAGTCGATTCCAACGGTATTGAATGGTCCTGAAACTGGTAGAGGTTGTAAGTATCCAGAAGGTTTACTATTCGGCGACTTCGAAATCTGGCAGGACTTGCACGAAGTTACATATTGAAAAACATCTTTAATGCAGTTTGTCCAATAATACTTTTGATGAATTCTTTCGTAAGTACGGGAAACTCCAAAGTGTCCGGAGGTGTCGTGAGCGTTCTTGAGCACTGTCTGTTGTACTGCTGCAGGTACAACTAGGAGGAAATTCATTCTGTTGTCACGAAAAACAATACGGTAAAGGATGTCGTTCTTGATTACGAAGTGCACTCTTTTCTGGCGGTAATTTGGTGTTGTCGTATCTCCACGGAGAGTGTCGATAATCTTTGAACAATACGAGTCTTGCTGTTGCATTAAGGCGATGTTAAAAGATTCTAGGAAAAATAAAGGTGTAGATAGCTGGTGTTCAGGTGGGACGTCTATTGCGTCATAAGGAAATCTTGACAAACAGTCGGCCATATTATTAACTTTTCCAGGTCTGTATCCAATTCGCATGTTGTAGGGGCGTAATCTTAGGATCCATCGGGCTAGGCGTCCAGTTGGGTTTTTCGCTTTCAGTAGTCCAGTTAAGGCGTTGTGATCCGTTATTATGTCGAAGGTCTTTCCAGGGTTTCCGACGTAAGGGTGAAAAATTTCTACGGCAAAACTACGGCGGCAAGCTCTTGTTCGGTCGTGGAATAGTTCTTTTCTGATGCGGTGAGGCTTCTTGAGGCATAGGCTATTGGCTGAACATTTCCGTTGTTGTCCACTTGGTTGAGTACTGCGCCAAGTCCTAGCATTGAGGCGTCTGTTTCCAAAATGAGATTCTTATTCGGGTCGAAGTGTGCCAGGAGAGGCTTGCTGACCAATTTCTTTTAAGAGATTCAAAGGCAACTTGTTGTTCATCGGTCCACCGGAATGGTTGGTCTTTCTGAGTAAGGCGGTTCAAAGGATTGGCAATAAGGAAAAATCTTTAATAAATTTCCGATAATGATTGGCAGCGCCCAGAAACGATCGCAGTGTCTTTAAGTCTGTCGGCACGGAAAACTTCTGTATAGTTGCTACTTTATTGGCATCAGGAGAAATTCCATCAGGTGTTACAGTATGTCCAAGGAAGTTGAGTTTATTGCATCCAAAGTGGCATTTTGAGGGCTTGAGCATCAGGTTTGCGTCGAGAAATTTCATTAGAACTTTTTCCAGGTGTTCCAGGTGAGCTTCGAACGAAGGGCTGTATACTTGAACATCGTCAAGGTAAACAATGACGAACTTGAACTTGAAATCTTTAAATATGCTGTCCATTAGACGTGAGAATGTAGCCGGGGCATTACAGAGTCCAAACGGCATAACTTCGAATCTGTAAAGTCCTTCTGGTGTTAAAAAGGCTGTCTTGTCTTTCGAGTCTTCATGCATTTCAACTTGCAGGTATCCTGAAAGGAGATCCAGGCCGGTAAACCACTTTGATCCTTGTAGTACGTCTAAACAATCGTCAATTCTTGGAAGGGGATACAAATCTTTCTTCGTGATGGAATTAATGGCACGGAAGTCGATACAGAGACGAAGCTCTTTATCTTTCTTCGGGACTAGAACAATGTTACACGCCCATTCGGAGTTGCACGGAGTTATTATCTTTTCTTCTATCCATTGTTTCACTTGCTTGTTGATGAATTCGCGTTGCCAAGGGGCATGGCGTCATAAGGCTTGATGTACAGGAGGATTTGATCCGGTGTCAATAACGTGTTTGATTTTGTTGGTTCTTCCAACTTTCTTTTCTTTCGAGGGGAATAGTGTACGGTACTTATAGAGTAATTGAAGCATCTGATGACGTTGGGACTGGGACATATCTTTGCCGAAATTAAATTGATTAGAAAATTCTTCTATGGAAACGTCTTGTGATTCCGGAGAGCCATCTTGTAGCAAGTCTGTTGGGCTAATAAACTTTTCATCTTTAAATTCTGTATGTGGATCCACTTGTATATCTGTACGTGCACGTGCTGCCATGTTGGCAAGGCCGGGAACGGGAGCTGCAGACTTATTCCGGCTTGTATCCAGTGTACGATGAACGTTCACGGCTGAACCGGCATTGTTGATGGAAGGTTGCGCGCTTAATGTCGATTCAGGGCCACGAAAGTTCAAGGTTGGACTAGGCAATATACTGTATGAAGTGGGTATGCGTACGCAGGCGACAGGAATTGATTCTTGATTCTCCGGGTTGACCAGCTGGCTATCTGCAAAACTTAATAGGAACGGTGTAGTAATTAAATAATCATTGCCCAATAATAAATCAAAAGGAAAATTATGTAGGATTGCTACGGTTAATTCGGCATTAAATCCTAATAATTGAATGTCCATGCGGCATGCTTCTGTTGGTTGCACTATTATATTAGAAACAGTCCCAAGTGAAGGTCCATTATAATTCATACGAGTAAATAAATACTTCGATGCAACACGATCACTGATTAAAGAAATACCAGATCCAGTGTCTATTATAGCGATGAGTGGCTCATTGTTAATGAAAAAGTTAAATGATAATGCGCCTGTATAGAAATGACAGATAGGTATTAGTGACTTACGATCCACAGCTTCGTGAGCCAGGGAAGCTGTGGTATTCAGTTTAAATATTGCGGAGCCGGCAGTGCATGAACAGTTGGCGGATGCAGCATACTGGCATACGACGGCTGGACATTTCTTTGGCCTTGATTATTTTTATTTCGTTGCCGGCATTCTTCAATGGTGTGATTGGTACGCTTGCAGTAGTTGCAGAACTTTCGTGTGTATCCTCTGTGTCCTCTAAAGTTTCCTCTTCCTCCTCTGCCGAAACGACGGTTCATATATGGTCTGGATCCGCTCAGTGTCATCCTCTCAATCGCTCTTTCAATGGCAGTTAAACGATCGTCCATATTAGGATTGCTGTGACGTGACTCAGCGGTGTTATTGAATAAGGCGGCAATGACAGGATTCTTCACACAGTCGGCAACTTCTCTCTCCCACTGCTTATTCTGGTATGCTTTCTCTCTCACTACCTCTTTCAGCTTAATGAGGAATTCATTCGGCGTAGATGGCATATTGCTCACGAATCCTGACTTCAGCTGCGGTGGCAGCCCATCGAACAGCTTATTCACGACTTCGCGTTCGGTCGGCGAGTCAGAAATAGAATTGAGGTATCGCATGACATTGGCGTAGTAGTCGTTTGGATTACCAGCGTACGTCAGTGAGCGCTTGGTGTCTTTAGCCAAGTCGTAGTCAAACAGCTGTTTGGCGAAGGCATCGCGTAGCAGTTTCTTCATTTCTGTCCATGTCCCTTCAGCAGGCAGCGTGTTGTATATGCGCAGGGCAGTTCCATTGAATGCACGGTACAGATTACCGATTGCGTCTTCATTAGTCCAGTCGTGCTGTTTAATGCAAATCTCGTACTTCAACAACCAGTCTTCAAAATCTTCATCTTCTTTGTTTGCAAACTGCGGTAATTCTTTAGTTGGCACTTTCTTCTTATGCGTCTCAGAAATACCTTTAATGATGTCAGTTGCACCGGCACCGTTCTCTGCTAAATCGCGAATTTCATTCAGTTGTCGTTGTAAGTTGTCGGTTGCAGCCATTTGCGCACGGATGGCGTTTGCGTGGTTAACGAGCGTGTCCTCTTCTTTCGCCATTTTGTTGTTAAAATCCCGGTATCGCTTCGATAGTAATTCGAAAAACGATGTTTCTTGTGGTTGAATATAAGGTGGACTTTCTGGACGAGGCGGTGGGTCAGGTATTGGGTCGAAGAAGAGACGTGGATTATCTACTTCCTCTTTTTCGTTCTCTTCGTTTGCTTCGTTCGCTTCGCGTGGCTGCGGGATAGCTTTGGCTGGGCGGTTTGCACGTTCAAGGGCGGCGTACTGATCGTGAATTGGTATAGCTGGTAAATGGAGTCGAGAACGAGTGGATATCCCTGGGGGTTGTTGCGGGAAATCTGCTCGAAGAACTGTTCGATCTGGTGAGTCGTCACGTTCGCTAGCGGATGATTCGTCGTTGGAGAAGTATTCTTCTTCCCGGAACTGGACTTCTTCTTCTGCGGCATTAGCGTGAGACATTAGCTGCGTAGCGTACGTACCGGTTTACGACATAACAATCACTGGTGGAGAGGGTTGTAAGGTGTCCAAGTAATCCGAAAATACGTAAATAAATGATGGAAAGGTCACAAAAGTATCGCGGTATATAAAGATACTTTTTCAAAAAGAAAACAAAATTTGTCATGGGCACTCGTGTTAACTGAGTAAAACAGTCAACGGCCCTGGAGCCACCAAGTTGTTACGTGCTTATTTCGTAAAGGCGCGGATGTTACTGTGAGCTTTAATGATAGAATAAGCTGAAGGATACAAATGTCAGCCGGCGCTTTATAAGCCGAGCTGAGTTCCAAAACACATATAAATAGATTAGGGCAGGCGCAAGAAAGATACTTCTATGATACACATATAAGGAGATATTATTAATAGTTAAGCTAATGTATACTCGTAACAAATTGTCCAGAAAGATTTGCGAATGTAGTGGTAACCCTCGGTCGGGAGAGTTTTTGCGTCAGAGAATCAGTATTGAGATACAACGTGGAAGTGCAGTGTCTGTCCTCGGAACATTTAGTGACATGAGAGACAGCGAAAATGTTTTTTTAGCTTTTAGATTGGCTGATCGGGAATGATTTGTACCCGATGTTGTTTTTCTTGGCAGCTTTGCTGCGGTCTTGTTTATATGATTAAAACACATTTCTAGATGGTAGATTTGCTAATTACTGCAGCAGGCGTTTTGTTAATGGTTTGTATGCGACTGTTTACTCAACAGAATGTGTGCCGTTGTTTTACTTTTCATCGCCGTGTTTTCGGTCGTACATGCAGCAGGTAAGTTCTGAGTCTGACGATCCAAGCACAGAATGCAATGCCATACTTTTTGTTTACACCCCGTGACAAGTTGCAGAAATACGGGACGACCCGGGCAAGCCGTATGACATTCTGAACGGGATCTGGACGGATATGGACCGCTTCCTGCTTAGGGAATCCAGGTGGGCGGTGCTAGTAGCGTGTTCCTCGTCTTTCAACAATCCTACCTTCGCCCTGAACGAACTGGGGGAGGGCGTGCACGCACTAATCATAGCCGAATACCCGCGCTACACCTGGCTAGTCGACGTCGCAGATCAGTCCATCCCTCTCGAGACCACTGTAAGTTCCATCATGCAGCATGGTGTTGACATGGAAGTCGGCTAGTTGGCAACCGGTGGCACGATCGCTACCATAGGTGCACAGTTCATCAACGGTAGCAATGCTCTAATACGAAGGATCCATGTTTTTTTTTAAATTTCATTATACATACATCATGTACTTATAATGTAATATAGAAAAAGCCTGGATGCTTCGTATTAGAGCATATCTCGCACAACCAGCGCTTTTCAGTTCGATCTCGGTGCTGACGATTTAAGCGCACGGGATGTGTTTCTGTTGCACGATGCTTATTGCTTCCTTATTAAGTTCGCAAACCACAGACCGACTGGCCACTTTTTGTACTATAATGTACTTTCGAGCAACATGTAGTTAAATTGAGTACAGTGGCAAGCTGTTTGGGTGATGATTGGATCGCTTTCAGTTCACTGCCGCTCCGGGAACAACATATCGCGCCACCTGCAACGGCAACAGGTTTTCCGTTTGGGCACATTTCCGCTAGCTGCACGCCCCTCTTTCGAATGACTATGGTGACAGGCGGAGCGCTTTTGTGGACTTGCTGTATGCTACCAGATGTCCTGTTGCCTTTCCATAAAAAAAACTGTCTTGGCTAAATTTTGACAACATGGCCGCGCGTGTGGTGTTAAGTCCAGTTACTCACTCGTGCACTGCACTGCGCAGCAAGTAGTTGTTACTGTTGTAATGATCAACGACAAACGGAAGTCCAGATTCATGTAAAGAACATCAGGCCCGAACACGCCTTTAATTTGTCTTCATCGTTTGTAGCATTTTTACCTAGTACTTATTAATTAGTAGTTACCTACTGCGTTAATGTGGTTGCCAGTAAAAAACGTTATCACTTATCTTCGCTAGCAGTCATCAAGTATTCAAGTTGTGCTCAACACTTCATTAACACTTCCGCTGTCAGTTGCTACTTTTGAGCACAATTACTGCGCCAGTACAGCTATCGGCTCCTGTGACGGGCACTCGACCTGTAAGTGCGTTGTGCGCTATCTTATGAGTTCTTGTCTGTACTTTTGAATCACTAAAAGATTAATGGAAAATGAAACGGATGCCGCCTTGATAATTTGCTTCAAGTGTTGCCGACTACAGCTGAAAATAATCTGCCGCGCGTAGCCAGTATTTACTCAGTTAAACGCTCACTTATATTCTATAACCCCAACGACATACAGCAGTATTCCCTGTTCACTGTATAAAACAGGAATTTAATTTTTTTAAACGGCTCAGTCAGTATTACCATTCTGTAGCCTGTTATTTGTAATCCGGTTAACCACGATGCGTACTACTGTCGCCGTTTTCGTTGCCGTGTTGGCGTTGGGACGCACAACAGGTCAGATGAAGACGCGTTTGAACTGTATACTATAAATAAATATAATATTAGTGTACAGATAGTGTAATTAAGGGAAGCGAACTGGTACATCGCGAAAACGAAACGGAAATAAAATCAAGCATCCGCTAAATATAAATTAGTGTGCCCATGCTCGTGCAGCTTGTAGCTTTTTCGTGCTGGCCATTTGCCGTTGTAGAAAGCGTTCCAACCGGTCGCCACGAAAAAGCAGGAGGTATGCGCGCGGCACAACCGGAACTCGAGCGTGAAACTCCAATCATTGACGAGGACTGGTCGGATATGGTTGGCGAGATGCTGATCGACACCGACTGGACGGTGGGCTTCTCCTGCTCCTCCTTCAAATATCTAAGCTCCTCCCAGGGCTTCGACTTCACCAAGATGGCAGTTATGGTACGCGAAATCCTCGAGGGCATCTTCGAAGGTTATGAATGGAACGTGGTCGTTGCGGCCGAACTCGGTGTCCGGATAAGTTCTACCATTCTCAAGTTTCCAGTCAGCCACGTCAAACTGCGACATGGCAAATCACTCGGAAGACAACTTGGCAACTCTGCTGGAATTATTGGCTGCTTTTCCAGATAACTGCAGCGCCTGGAACCAGATATCGCGCCACTTGTAACGGCTGCTGGTACACCATCTGGGCAGCCGTCCACGACCTGCAAAATACCACGTCTCTAAATTGTCCGTTTCCTTGAGCTGCCTTGTTATGTCACAGGCAACGCACTGGTCTCATCGCACGGCATTCTTACAATTATCGAAGGAACCTTGGCAGAATAAATATTAGACAAGACATCGACTGAACGCTATCGACATTAACAGCGTTCCAGCCTCTTAACCTAAGGGCTCCAGTTTCATCTAGGAAGCAGCGATCCCATGTATCTGTTAAATATTTATTAAATTTTGGATGGTGTAAACGTCGCTGATTTGGCTTGTACAAAACATGGATACAAACGATCAGATTTATTCCAAATTAAATGTAGGAAAAAAGATTGGTAATAGTTTGACACACACACGTGTACAACTTAGCCTTGGTGCTACGAAACCACTAAAACATTTCTTCGTACCGCCATTTTCAAGAAGAGCACAAGTAGAAAAACAAATTCATCCCAAGGAGTTCTAACAAATCATAAAAATTCCTTCGCTTACAACAGCGTTTAAAACAAAGAACAGACACAGCTCAGCTGGACCGTTCAAGATCCTAGGGCTCCTGACCGGCGCCCAGCCCATTTTCATTGCCGCGGGATGGACGCTTTGGCGGTCCTTGGCTGGCTTCACTTTGCGTCACCGACATGTGTCGCATCCCGGCCATCATGCCGGCCAGATAGCAGAACAACGGGGAATCGGGAGCCGGGGCTTGGTCGCCACTGCCCGCTCCCATCTCCCGCATGACCTCCGTTAGCGTGCGACTGTCCTCAAATCCGGCGGCGAAGCACGTGCCGAGCGCCGGCGATGGCGGCTGGCCAGCGGAGGATAACGCGGTGGGCTGCGAAACGGCGTTACTGTCGGCCTGGTTCCCGCTGTTCAAGGTGAGCGGTGCATTGTGCTGTGGAATCATCACAGGCACAGCGGGAGCAGGAACCTCGGGTGCGAAGACAGCAGGGATTTCCGCATGGGACACCACATTGTCCGCCACCGCAGCAATAGCCGCCATTTGGCTGCCAAGAACCTACGAAGAATCAGTGACGGTACTTCGAAGATTCTTATGTCTGTCATCGGATAAAACAATTACGGAGTATGTACACCGAGCTATTGTCGAAACAATATGGCTTAGCCTAGATGACTTCCCGTACAACACCTACGAGTCTACGACTGCACTCGTATAATATGCGACTCAACTGTTACACGCATAAGCACCCAAACAGGTTACGTACCAAAACAGCCGGCTGGTCGGGCTCCCCATCTCCCGTACCAGCTCCGCTGTGTTTGGCGTCCGCCACGCCGCGCTCATCACCACCACTGCCATCGACATCCATCTTCTTCTGTCGCTTGACAGAATCGCCCTGTCCATCGCCAGGATCGCCCAGAAAACCAGTCACCGAACTTTTCTGTCGGCTGTCCTGACGCGCCGCCACCGGAGATCCCTGGCCACGCCGGCTCTCCTTTTCCGCTCCCCGACCGTCCAACTCCTTCAACTACACAAACCCGCGGAATCTACTGTCTTAACCATACACGCCCGTCAACACACAACTTACGTAGAGTCTTTCCAGCCGCTTCAGCTCCGTCACGCAGTCCTCGACGTTCTTCTCGGTGCCGCTGACCACCACCGTGGTGGGATCCCCATCATCGCGTTTCGGGAAGCAGATCTTGACATGAAACCGCTTCTGCAGCCGGCCTAAACTATCGCCCTCGTGGCCCATGATGCGGGAATGGATGCGAAGATCCAGATTCAGCATCCAGGGTATCACGGCTTCCTGTACAATTCATAGCGTTTCACTGGCTTGCTTTTACCTTCTTACAAGTCACACTCCTGATACTACATTGGCTCGTTTGAAACACGTGCATTTCGAAAAGCGTATGATTGATTTTATAATTTTATTCAAGCGGCCCACTTTACTGTTTTATTGTATCAAAAATACGCAAAGACCTCGGTATTGCTTTATTGCGAGGTAACGCTGATTGTGTTCAGGAAGCGTTTTGTATCGGTAAGAGACTGAATGCAGTGTATTATGTGTTGAAATGCGCAATTTTGAGTTTAACCTAGGTTAATGTGAGTAACCTAATAAAAGTCTCTCACCAAGACCTCGTTTTTGCCCGCGAAAGGCACAACAAATATGTCGTCGCATGCTACGAGATAAATCGTTAAGGTGGATACCTGTCTCTTTTGCAGTTTCTGTCCGCTTCGATGTTCCTCTTCATCGTTCTTTCGCTTTCCACTTTTTCCATCCTTTCGCTCCCCAGTTGCGCTCTGTCTGCTCTTGTTATGGCTTTCACCGCTGGCGCTTTCGCCGCCATCGCGTCGCAGCCACTCCTCTTCCCCATTTAACTTCCACAGTCCGTAATCAGTGGCGTCGAATGGCCGCGGAGGATTCGACATCTGACTGAGCAGCTTTTTGTAGAAGACAGCGTTAAACATGACGTCATGATGGCCAGGATTATCCACGATGGACTTGGCAATAGCGTCCCGAACATCAGGTTTGGCCTTCTGCACGATGTTCAAAATCACGTTCTTGGCTGACGCCGGCGCCGGTTTACCGTTCATGGTGATCTTTCGCTTACTCCAACGCTCCAGAAACGGTTTCCAAATCGCTTGGTACGTCGCTTCGGAACACTGCATTATATGTCGAAATACCTGCACAGCAGAGCTAGCTAAACATATGACTATTTTCACCGTTACGGTAAATGCAAATTACCCGAAAGTGTATTCAAACGAAACAGCCATCTACTTTCAAGTATTTCTCTGATAAATAATTCTGCAAATGTTCGTATTACATTGTGTAATACCTGCTGGAATTCGGCGCTCATGCTAAAGGAACCATCCCTCTCATATTTCCGGATATTTGTACACTGGAAAATAATCATCTGCCGGACCTTGTCGTAGTCCTCAAAAGAGATGTAATGGTCGCCCTCAGGCAGTTTATTCTGGGCGTTCCAGTGATGAAGAGTGTTAAACGTCACTCCCATCTCCAGTGCGCGTTGGCGCGCTGACATCAGAATCATCGGAAACGGAGTTCCCATTTTCGCTGACTCAATGTCGTTTTCCGCAGCGCCGATGGCAATGGATTCTGCTTCCGACAGACCGTAGAAAAACGAGACCTAAACACCGCAATGGTGAAAGCCAGAAAGCAAAGCCAGTTTCTGACATGTGATTGTCATGTACAAATATCCAGCTATTTGCGCTGTAACGTCACATCGTCAGCCCGGCGCAGGTTTCTTACTTTTAACGTAACAATTATGGACACGCGTGCATGCTGTACCAATAGCACAGTTCAGTAACGCAGCTATGCAGGAATATTTTGAACACTTACATTCGTTAGCACGGTCTGCGTGTAGTTATCCTTGAAGTCCTGGTGGTCCTTCATCATGGCTACGTGAGGAGATCTTCCCACCAGGAAAAGCTTCAGGTCTTTGGGGAACTTCCCTGCTCTGATCCGGTTCAGAATCTGCTTTTGCGTGTAGTTTTTCTGAGCTCGAATATTCACAGAGACAGGAATGGGGCATTCCTTCTCGTTCGGAGGATTTCGCTTGAAGCTCGCGACCAACTTGCTGTCATCCACATGGGCATACGGAGACAGGCCGGAATAGTCGAGGTTGGCTAGCGGGACCTTTGCGCATTCGACCGTGATCTGCTTCAAGATCCCGTTCAGCTTAGCGAGAGCACTCGCGACGGTTGTCGGGTCCTTCAGTTTTGCCGCTTCGTCCAGCTGGTATCTGGCTGTCTTCACGGGGTTCGATGTTTCCGCATGCGTGTAATCCAAACCTTCCAGGCGGACTACGACACCGTCATGATCGTACTGGCAATCCTCGGCCATTTTGGCGAAGTATCGACAATTCTGCGACCGCGAAATATCAAATTTATGAAAATTACAGTGCTTTATTGGGAATCTGCGATCGACTACTTAAAATGAGGGTTCCGGAATGGAACTCGCAAGGATGCGCACTTGCAGCACTGCATGCAGCCGCGTGTCATGCACGGCAGTATAAGCTACCCCAAACGCAACCCCAACGCCGAATAACCAGATATTTCTCCGTTGCCATTTCTGGCGCAATCTAGTTGGTAAAGGCATACTAAAGGAGTGAAATAATGAGTACCTTCAGACTGTCGAGTCCTGTAATTTCTAACATCTTTTGTAAACTTTCTGTTCGCTGCTGTCTCGCTGAGCAAGCTGCGGAGTTAATTAAATGGAATTTAAACCTACATTGCGCGTTGCTTTCAACTTGCTACAGAAGCTAAGCATAAAGTCGTTTTGATATTCGTGCCTTTTCGGGTAGTACAGCTTAGGACTAACAAGACTCTTAGCCCCATACCCAGATATCCGTACGCATTTGGCAGGTGCACTTGTACGACAACCAGATATTTTAGCTGATTCGTACAGTGCACTGCGCTGCATGCGTTCGGAATCCTTAGTCCTATGGGTGGAATTATGCGTCTTTTTTGCCCTAAGCTGTAGTACCTCAACTCGCTGACCAACAATTCGCTGTTTCTGTCGTACACAACTCGCTGAGCGGTAAATCGTTTACCGACAAATCATTGACCGAAAATTCGTTCTTTTTTTTTGCTAAACCATTGACCGACATAAGTTCAATCGATAAGTTGAATTTGTCGAAACATTTTTGCTAACCGACAAATTGCTTTTTGGTTCGATAAGTTGAATTTGGAATTTCTCAAATTCTTGTTGTTTTTCCGAGGTTTCCTAGGGTAGGCTTTTTAGGTTCTTACGTTTCTTATTTTTCGTTGGTTTCTGGGGGTACTCAGGTCAGCAAAGTGCTAGCTACTTTTTTGTCCTTCAGTACGTTGTACTTTGGGGAATCACACAATATTAGTTCCTGTCATGATTTTTATCCCTTTACAGGTCACTGCCGCTCTTGGGACGAAATACCGTGCCATCTGCAACGGCAACTGGTAAACCATTTGGGCACACACTTTGGTTTGCCAGTTGCACCCACTTTAGATTGCTCTGTTCGGATTTTTGTTCGAAACCTGTATTCCATGTGGTTAATGCTTTGTAAGACTGTTCAGTGAAGTGCGCGTTCAGATTATAATGCAAATCTGAATCGGAAACAGCAGTTCGAGTCACAAAACTACCGCTATGCAACAACCGCATCCAACGAACTACCGCATTATTATACCGATGGCACAAGTTAGTCAGATCGGATTTATGCATAGAATGATTTTT